TCTCATCGTCGCCCGAGAAGCCGCAGCCCTTAAAAAAAATTAAAAAATCAGAGCGGGTGACACGGTGTCGCCAAATAATAAGCGGCACGCCGCGAATACACGCGCGACGCCCTTCTGCGACGACTGTCCCCACGGCGGTCTTTCTTTTTGGGCGTCGCCGTTAATTATACACGCGAAGCTGCAGAAGCGGCACAGCGCAAGAAGCCCGCGCCCCGGAGGACGTACACGACACTCCTAATACGCAGACTCAATTTTCCAGAATAGAAGCTTACAGACACGGCCGCTAGATGGAAACGTGCTATGGACGACCGATTATTGGCTACACAGGAAACGGGGTTCGTACACTTCTCAGTATAGTGAGCCGCGGGATATAAGCTCCGAAGAGCACGTCCGTGCCAACCTGCGACGATCGAAATACATGTTTCAGAGCTACATTTGACGGGGCTTTTCGTTAGCTTTGGCGAAGTAAGTTTACTCATTCTATACGACCAATTTGAGGTCGACGAAAGGACGAAACTGCGAAGATCTGCAAGTGGCACACTAGCCTAATACTGCCCCAAAATGTCTCTCGTCTGTGAGAAAGAAACACCTTTCGTGCAAGTAAATAAAAAAAGAATCTACTCGCTAGATAGACGCTCATAACAGTGCGAATGCCGCATATAACTAACCATTCACAGAAACGCTAGATATAGCTGCGAAAAAAAAATTCTGGCCGATCTCGATGCCGGACTCTACAATAATGAAGGCATGCCCGACACTGACAGACAGCATTTACGAAAGAAAAGCTTGGTGAATTCGAACCCTGATGCGCACCTTAACAAGCTGTCATATCACAGTACTCCGCTAAACATTTTTCTACATAATCAGAAATTGTGGTGCTTTAGGTGCCAACTTTAACGACATATAATTGCCAGGTTAGTACTAAGTATGGTCGGAAAACTCCAGACTAATTTTAGCCACTAAATTACATAATGGTTTTAATAACGTGCTCGTATATTTCGACAGGCTGGAGCGTTCTGCCTTGGCTTCTGGAATCGAGTTGGCGGCCTTGTGCTAGGCAGCTCACACCGCAGTCACTAGGTGTATACATTTTACCACGCTACCGCTCGTCAGAAGCGAGGCAGTTTTGCGCTAAGTGCTTCGGGATGAGCAACTAGCGTACTGCACGCCAAAAGGGCCAGAGAGAACCGAAAAGTGGGCAAACGCTCTCTCGGCGGGGAGGGCTTTCAAAGGCCCATTAGGTCGAAACAGCGTGCGCAGCACGGCAAACAGAACCGCAAGGGCAACCGCGTCCCACGCGACTCGGTGCGTGCAAACGACGCGACGGAAGCGAACGCTGCGGCAGCGGACAGAGGAAAAAAAGAGAGGCCATCGGGGAACAAGGTCAGCGCGAACAGGCACGCTACGGTGCACGTCGGCCGCGAAGGCACAGGAACAGCGAAAGAAAAGCACCGGGATCGTGAGCGAACAACGACGTACTAACAGCCGCCCGAATCTGCGCGAGCTGCGACTTTTATGTGCGTCAGTACATGTAAAAAAGCGCGCTCAGCTGCAGACTCATCGTCTGCAAGCAGGTCCTTCTTGAGGACGTCACAATATAGTGGCGCACTTCCAAAGAACCACGTTTTTCTCCCGTAATATGGGCGAAGCCATGCGGAGTGTATTTAAAATATATCTCCTCGATCGCACAGCAACAATCACCTTCTGAACATAATTTACGAGCAATTCGCCTACTCACACTGCTTATTCATCTTCAAGTGACGGGGAGACACCTTCAAGAAGGAATAGCCAAGTATATGACGAGCCCAGCTGAGCACACTTTGTGGAAAGCATGCATTTACCCTATAAAGCACTGTTTGAAACTTAGTGCTGTCATACGGTGTTGATACACAGAAAAGTCACCGCTGCTAGTTAAACATTTCGGCGGCTGTACCGTCGCACTCATTACGAATTGCAACGCCGGGCCACGAAAAGGAATAAGAGACTGTTTAAAGCTTTCACTAGCCCCTATTTCTACAACTAAACGCTGCCGTCGCACTTTGGGACGACCTGAAATGAGAGAATATCACTTAGCTGTGGATGATGAGGGCAAGTTCAAAGCCTTGCGCAATGTATTACTCGTGAGAGCAGGCGTTCTGGTGTTGCAAATGACATTGTTCGCCACTATACGAAACTGCGCCCGTCCACGCAAAATGCTTTAAGAAGTCCCTGTGGTACGAATGTGCCACGACGCCAGAGTTCAGGCACGACCCCGGACGGCATGTGCGACGCGGTAGTCGCAGCGGTTGCCCCTACATTTAGCGATAAATAAGACACGGCTGCAAGGAGTTAATTTATATGGCTGGGTAAATACGCTTCAGATTTCGAAGGCAACTATCTACGATCGCAATCGATAGACATTGACGACGCCAGGCTACCAAGCCCACATTGAAGCAACAGCGCACCCCGACTCACCGAAAATTCGCGATATGGAGTTTAAGCTGGCGACCAGTGCCACCACGAGGGTAGAAAAAAGCAAAAAAAAAAAAAAAAACTTGGCGTACAACGTCATAAAATACGGTTGTCCAAAACTGAACGCATCACGAAAACAATTACTGTGAATAACGTCCACCGATAGGCTTGAAGCGCATTTACTTTCCGTACGGTGCGCGCTACAGCGCGTACGTGCAGCGGTTTTCATTACGGTATACGTGCAATGAACGCGTGAAGCTTAACCACTATAGGTACTGTGCTGTGCGCTTTTAGGGCTCGCCGTAGCCACGGGGCGCTTCAGTCATCCATCGCAGCACTAATTTCACCATCTGCCGTGACGCATCTGACCGTACGACTATGTCACCCGAGACGAAGCCTGCTCGGTGTTGCGCAAAAGCCCTTCTACTACACTCCGCCGCGGCGGCCTATTAGCGGCGGCGGAGGAAGTGCACTTCGCAACGCGCCCGTTAGTCAGCGGGACGCCAAGGGACTGCTTTCTGGCCGCAAAAGCGCGCCGAACGCAACACGACAGCCGCGGCAGTTGCGTCAAGGCCAAACGCACAAGAGCCGTCGCTCGCTGCGCGCAGCTAGCTGGCGAGTGTGTGATGGATAAGCCCCGTTAGGGCAACGGGGGAATGCGGAGCGGCAGAGCACGCCAGCGCGCCCGCCCGAGCCCTCGGGCAGCGGCGGAAGACATCGCAACACCCTTCCCCGAACGGCCGGGACGCACGCCAATATATCTGCGGCATAGTGACGTATACATGCACGAGGCACGTGTGCTCTGTCGACGTGTCCGCCGACATGGCTGGCTGTTGTAGGCCAGCCACAGAACCATTGAAGTACGGGCCATGCGGCTCCGTGCCTCCCAAGCTACCCTGTATACTAAAGCCCTAACCACACGTGCACACTACAACAACGCGTCAACGTGTAACGTGCCACGCGACGCCGAGTGTGCACGTCACTCGTCGACGCGTTGTACTGCGTACGTGTGACCTGCCTTGAGCGCTGTATTGCTCGAAGCATGCAGTAATCGGGGAACACGGAAGCTTAAAGAGACAAAACATTCTTAAACTGCCTTGAACGTTCTAATGCTCCAAGCATGCAGTAATAGGGGAACACGGAAGCTTTAAGAGACAAAACATTCCTAAACGGGTCGAGAATCGGGGAACAATCCGACCACTTGGAGTTGCACGTCCAAGTACGAAGGTTTTCAGCATTCTGCTCGATAACGGGACGAGTTCAGCGAAGACACCGAGGTTGTGGCACTATCAAAAATCAGTCGAAACGCCTGGGGCGTACCTGCGGCATAACAATAACAATAATCGATCTTAGACGCCCTTCACAAACATTGTCATAGACGTTATCAGCGTTACAGCACGTATACTTGACAGGAAAGCAGCCAGCGCAGGCCTTTCATAAAAGGAAAACTGAAGTAATACACGGATGGAGGTGACTGATGAACATTCATTCCGCCAGGCTTAACCCCACCTAACCGCACTACCAGGTCTCGCAGCAACTAAGCAACTATACGAGACGCAGGCTCTTTCACCAACTTTACCCGCAACGAAAACAGTTCTCGTCCTCAACCACTAGCAAAAGTGCTTCTTCCCTGAAACGCTGCCAAATCGCTTCGCGGGGAGACAGCCGAATTCGAAACGCCCCGACTTACTTGTTCGCTTAGTTTTGTAATTTTTTTTTGGCTTTGGAACAAAAACAACATGCATCATATCTTCAGCTTGAGCAAGCACCGAGACAGCAGAGACGGCCGTAACTCCCCGTCGCCTGACGCGGGGTATGTAAGTGCACGAACAATGGCGCATCAACGACGTATATTTTCCAATCACTGTAACGCACGACCGCACTTATACAAATGTGTCAAATGACGAGTGCGGGCACGTTTGAACTTTGCTTCTTTGTTGTTTTTTAAAGCAAGTTAGGTGTGAAACAATAAGACAAAACATACCGAAAATGCTTCCGGAGCACAGAAATTCGGGAAAAGCTTATATTGCCGGATGGCAATGCGAGAATCCTGCCGGGCGGTTTTGTCTGCGCATAGTGGATTTCCTCTCACTCACCGCAACAGCAAGCTACCAATAACTATAGATGTATACATGGTGTGCGCAGAGAAGCAATGCCGACGCCAGGATTTTTTTTTTTTGATATATTGAAAAAAAGAGAGATGGGCGGTGGGGTGGAAGGGAGCCATAAACGCTGTGTTTAGACTATCTGCTCTTGGCGTAGTAAGGGAGAGAGTTCGCCAATAATTGAGCTCTTAAATAGCGAGAGAGCCTCCACGGCTGGCTCGTTTGCTTCCTGGTCGGCACGAAGTGCACGATGAAACAGGTGGTTGTTTCCAGGAAATAATATTGTTGAAGCTATAGCGCACTGTGGTGTCGCCTCTCTTACGTCTTTGTTTGCCAGCGCTGCATACGCTTCTTTTTCGTGTGTTTTCGAGGGAACATATTTCGGGAGGTGACGCTCCCTTCCCCTCACAACGCTGACCCCGCAGAAAAGGCAGGCGAACTCACCGTGGCATGTTCTTGATGCGGATGCTGGCGGGGGATGAGACGGTGGGGTTCTGGGCGCGCAGGTTCTCCATGCCTTCCGTCACCGAGCAGATGCCGCCACCCTGCAAGCAGAGACGAATAGTAAGACACTGTTAGTATAAGTGACCTTCACGCTACCTATCGAGATTACAACGAATTAAACAAACGCAGGTGACACGATACGGGCGACACAAACAGATGAACGCATCGTTATCAAGAAAAATAAAACGTACAAAGAGCTATTGATAAATATATCAATTAACCGAAATGGATAGCCAAGAGATATCGACAAATAACCAACATTTAATTAGTGTGGGCATAATATACGACTAACTGCAGTACCACTGCAGCTGAGGACTAACTGCAGCTGAGGAATCCAAAGTCGAACTTCGTCAGAAATGATCAATGGCATTGTTGCTGGCGTCATAGCACATAGTTACATAATGAGTGCATCTCCGAAAGTGCCACAGAAATAAAAAAAAGAAAAACAACAACAAAGTGAACGTCAGGACGAATGCGAGCTAATATTAAATAATTACGAAGCGACGAAAGGCACGAATACGGCCGAGGTGCTCTGACGCGACGCGAATGAAAAGGACAAATATTACACTAGCGAGAAAACAAAAGCGCAACAGTGAGCAAAGCACGATGTCTCATTCAGCATGATTGATCGATTTACATTGTACGGACATCGCGACAAGAGTCACGTTTGAATTGCATTGTGTGTATTGGTGTATGATGAAGTGTATCACTACACGGTGATTCATTCGTTAAAACTTAGTCGTTTGCTATCGTGTTCATGACTTCCATCCTGGGGCGGTACTCTCAAACGACAACTTTCGGCGACCGGCTCCAAATTAGTGCATGAGGCGCAGGTGTTTAGAAGAGATAACATTGCACGCCGTCTTACAGTCCTTCAAGTGGTCGCCATTGTTACCGAGGGGCCACGTCGCAGTGCTGCGAAGCGCACTGTTGAAACATCTCTGCAGGCAATTAAGGGGAAGGAAGCTCATTGCGCAGAAGCGCCGAAGAAGGTGGCCCCAAGGACATAGCAGCGCGACGCACAGTGGACAACACACATTCCTCCAGCGCTTGATATGGTCGGCGCCTGTTTCGCCGTCTCTCTCTTTAGGCGAAATTGCGACAGCCACAGTTGCGGTTTAGACGAGGTTTGCCTTTAGTCTATAGCTGAACTGGGTAGAAAACGAGCGGGGGAGAGAGAGAGAGCTCATAAATAATGATAAAAGGGCTTCCGTGATACAGAGGCATTCGTCTTAGTGCTACTCTGCAATGGAGAGAAAGGGAAGAAGGGCACTATAGAAAAAAAAAAAAAATAGGAGGCCAGAAGCAGCGACCACCGGAAGGAACTATGAAGACACCGCTATTACCTCGGTCAACTGCAAGGTCGCGCTACCTACCACTCATCTTCCTTCCACAAGAAGCGCCGCCACCGCACGCGACATTGCCGCATCGCGCCTTTCGCCGAGTTCCGGGCGGCGATGTGAACGCAAAAGAGGCATAGTGGCGATATACCATGCTATAAGTCGTTTCACGCTGTGTGTTCTCACGATAAATACAACTGTGATGGGTAAGCGTGCCCACTCGCCGTAGAAATTCGTATTTACATGCTTTTGCATCCTCTACTATAATAGGCGCTAGACCAATAACCACTAGAAACATTAGACGTTTGTACCTCGCTGATGGTTGTATGTTTTCACATTTTTTTCCCGCTTATCTCTTCTCACTTTTACGCAACGTGTTTCAATTAATCGATGAATCAATGTTTCTATACACCCAGAATATCTATATCTCGAGTCGTTTGTGTTCGCATTTGTGACGACACGAGAACCTTGCAGATCGGAAGTGAAGTAATTCAGCCTGTAATACGAAATCACAGCGTTACAGTCTGCAGGAGGGTCTCTTGAAGGGCAAGTCGGTACATGATACTGAGGGGAACAGCGCATAAAACAGGACCTAGAAAGAATGAACAAACAACACAAGCTTTGATGAATGAGCGTGTGTAAATTACTACACCGGGAAATATGTAGATGAAAAGCAAACATCACGTACACATCAAGGTGAAAATCAATACGAATACGCCACGAGTCAAAATGTGCAAGTAAACTACTCAAAAACATTATTTTTTTTCCCAGGAGGGCAAGTGAGTGAGGCACATGGTTCCTTTCATCTCGATAGGAAAAGCTTCGTTCGTTTCGCGCTCTGTCTTGTTACAATATTTTGATTGTATCACGCGATTATGAAAGAGCGGGCCGCAGCCGCACAAGGAGCAATGGGCTGCCAAGGTGCTCCTTGTTGAACTCCTGGGATTATATGCGCGCTCTCTCAGGCGGCCGTTCAAACAGCGATCTGCCTACAGGTCCAGTATATAGGACCGATGTGCGGAAACATGTGCGCCAGTGAGCTTTCACTCGCCCTCCTGAAAAAAGAGGTAATGTTTTTGAGTGGTTAACGTGGACATCTCGAGTCGTGCACAGATTCGCATTGTTGCTTTTCACTTTATGCGCACGTGATGGTTTTTCTTGTTTTCCGTTTTCAGCTACATATTTCCCGGTCTAATAAATTTACACGCAGTTGTTCGTCAGCGCCTGTGTCGTGTGTTCATTCTTTCTCGGTCCTGTTTTATACGTTGTTCCCCTCGGTTACAATGAGATCATCCATCGTCTACTACATCTTGTAGCAACAGCTAACAGCATGCACGATTTTCGAACGTCTGATTTTCTGTTTCGTCTGCGACGATATTAGTTCCGTCATGGTGGTCTAGTGGCTAAGGTACTCGGCTGCTGACCCGCAGATCGCGGGATCGAATCCCGGCTGCGGCGGCTGCATTTCCGATGGAGGCGGGAATGTTGTAGGCCCGTGTACTCAGATTTGGGTGCACGTTAAAGAACCCCAGGTGGTCGAAATTTCCGGAGCCCTCCACTACGGCGTCTCTCATAAGCATATGGTGGTTTTGAGACGTTAAACCCCACAAATCAATCAAGCAATGATATTAGAATACGACCAATAATGACGGATGTCTGGTTGAGCTAATGATGTTTTGCCACGCCTTTTGCATGCAGTTCGCCATTTTGCAGCATTTTTTTTAGAAGAGCCGCGGAAGGCCACGATAATGCGCGACCAGCAGTGATACACCACAGACGGCACAGTCATCGCATTCATGATAAGCAGCACAAATGTTCCAAGTGTTTAGGCTTTCATTGGCAAGCTCACTGCACTCACACTTCAATTATTTGTAGCACGCAGTACGCTTACCTGTGCCTTTAAATTGTTTCCCAGTTATACCGGCGAAAGGCCATCGCCCCCCCGCCCCCACCCCCAAAAAAAAAGGGGGGGGGGGAAGGGCCCTTGGAGAGGCAGCCAACGCGCATGGCGGCTCGCTTACGAAAAGGGGTTGAGGACCGAAAGCGTCTCGGACGAGGCTGCAGACGGTGCGGGCTCAAAGTTGACACGTACGGCACGAACGAAGAAGCGACGACAACGTGACAGCGCGCGCGGCATCCTGCCAAGGACCGGGGCTCCCGACCTCGGCCCCCACCACCTCCCAACTTCTTTGCTGCGGAACAGCTGGGCACTTCCAAGGCCTAAATTCGAACAGAGTCGGTGTCTCGAAGCTGTCTGGCCTGCTGCTTTCCATCGCATCTGCGCGCCCGCGGCTCGAGGATCAAAGGCACGGAGAGCGCCGCAAGGACGGCTATAGAGACGCGAAGCACCCTTCACTGATACAAACGAGACGGGAAGAGAGACACGCAAAGCGACGTATACACTGAGGGAACGCATATGCAACTGCTTCTCAGCAATTTCTGACCCCCCGACTCCCAACCTCACAAAACCAAAAAAGAAAGAAACACAGAAGACGACGAAACAAGAGCTAATTATTAATAAATGCTCGAGTTTTACGACCCAAAACTACGATAGGAACATGAGAAGCCGCAGTGGCGGGCTCCGGGAGTTTTCGTACATAAGGTTCTGCAACGCGCAGCTAAATCTGATGTGTAATTTAGTTTTGCTTCCATCCAAACGAGGCCGGTCGCCGCGGTCGGGATTCGATCATGCAACCTTCGGTTCAGCAGTCGAGACCCATAAGCTCCAGTCTATCATGGAGCGTGAAGCGCTAAGAATTGCGACGAAGATAACGTAATGATTCACTTGTTCGCTTACTCCCGACTACAAAAAAAAAAAAAAAAAAACCACTGCAAATTCTCCCTCTCTCTCACCCAGACTCCTCCACTGCTGAAACATCCAACTTGATGTCTGCCTGAGTAAATTTACACAGGTACCACGTACAATAGTTCCTTGAGGGTGTCAATTAGTGTTTATGCTGAATTACAGCACATTACGTGCTCGAAGATACTCAGATGGAAAGCTGCAAATCCCAAATTACGCACCGGTGCCGTCAATGGAACGCACCCTCCACGATCGAATGGCCGTCACACTGAGAAGCATTCGACAGCGTGAGAGAAGCAGAGTGAAAAATTACACGATGTCCTGATGATACAAGAGCGTCATTAATAACACCGAGACAGCCATTGCGAAAGACGAAACATTGAATGCATGACGAAGAAAAATGACGTTCGTGACCTATAATACATCCCGGTTGGGAAAACAAATAAATAAAAAAAACTAATACAGCGGGGAAAACTCGGTAATTAATGGCTGCCGCCACTGACGGCCTGCACACCATGCAGGCAGGTGACGCAAGGAGGCGTCATAAGCGGACTGACCATGCCGGCCAGTAGCAACTCACGCTGATGAGCTTATGCATTAGTGATAAGAAAGGCCTGAAAAGACACCTGCATGCGTGTATACGTCCAGAACCAAAGGAGGGCACGAGGAAGTTATTTGCTTTTGGTATTTTATTCACTTGTGGTTTAGTGACAACTTCACCCCACTTAAAGAACCTTAACATGGACTGTTCTTGCTACTGAAAAAAAGATGCGTAATGTGCCGATGCACTCAGTACATCCGATGTTTCATTTAAGGGTCATTTAAAAAGAAATCTGACAGGCCATCACAACGCTACGCGTGGAAACGTAAAACGAAAAGCACGACGGTATTTAACTGA